AAAAAAAAGCCTTAACAATGGGGGAATGAATTTGAAAGGAGAAGCCATAAGAGATGATTTCTTTTGTCTATTTAGTACGATAACGCGTTCTCAGGTTGACAAAAACGGCCATTAGAATAATCGAAAACTGTGCAGTGATCCTTTTGTCCTCTCCATGATCTGTTCACCATCAGTGACAGAAGAGAGCTCGACGTGGACGGAGCCTCAAAACCCTCTGTCTCGCCCAGCGTCACGTTCCATCCCTCACGTGACTCCTCACGTGATATCACTTGGAACTCCTCCGGCGGCGTGACGACATCATCATCGTCATCTCCGACCGGACTCCCCCTCTCGAGGAACCGCTTGAACCACTTTGCCGAATCTTTTGGATGACGTTTCAGATCATCGTTGTAATCCACGTAGTAAAGACCGAATCTAGCGGAGTATCCGTATTCCCACTCGAAGTTATCCAACAGCGACCACGCGTAATACCCTCTCACGTCGCAGCCATCCTCTCTGATAACAAAAAAAAAAAATTAAATTCCACATTCGGTGCCAAACTATAATATAAGATTTTAATCAAATCCAAATAATTGAGAGAGATTATAAGAGCATACACAATGGCCTTGTGGAGCTGCTGAAGATGTTTCTGATGGTACTCCAATCTAAATTCGTCCCTAAGAATTTCCTCCTTGGATGTGGTGCCGTCATCATAGTCGTTGATTCCTGTAATTTCACGTCGATTACAGCACCAAACAAGTTATATTCACACAATGAAACGTGTTCATTAATTAGAGATATATATATATATATACACGATATCTTAGGAATTCAAAAAAATTCTCACCGTTTTCTTTGATGTAAACTATTGGATTGTTGTATTTGTCTTTAATGTAGTTTAGAACCTTTCTCAGCCCTTCCGGAACTGAAAACAGAAACTTTCTGGGTTCCTGCAAGAAAAAACAAAAAATGTTGGGGGACTTTCGGATTATAATTAACAATAACAAAGCCGCATTTGAAGGACATACCCATGGACCGATGTAGTGTCCGGTCTTGTTCGTCTCTGTCCAAAAGCAACAAAGACAGTTAAGTTTTTTGGGAAATAATTAAGCGCTCCATATTCAAAGAGCACAAGTCTTGTGGATTTTTAATCAGGGTTCTTACTTCTAAACTCGAAGGCATGATCAGTCCTGGTCCGAGGCCGGGAAGGATCGACCTCGGGAAGGTTAGCCGTGAAGAACGTCGTG